ATCCCAGCACTGAGGTTGGAGCCCTGCTTACTGCCTGCCTCCTCCCGAAGCCCCTCACTCCCTTCCTGGAACCCCATGGCTTTGTGGAGCACCGTTTGAGAACCCCCCATATACTCTAACATTTACTAAAAATGCAGAGGTGAAACGAGTCATTTCAGCCTATATTTAGAAAACAGTCTCTTTCAAACCTCCTGGTGAGAATAAATCCAAATAATTTGTGTAAATATTTCACCCTTGAGGAGATGGAGCATAATTCCTTACTTCTTCCACGTGGGCTATGCATAGGGACTTCCATCCAGAGAGTGCGGTGTGGAAGGGTGAATGCCAAAGAAATCCAGTGGAGATACCAGACTTTTTTTTTTTTTTCTAGAGGGTTTTTCTCAGGGGCTACTCTCAGTGCTGCAGCTGCTGCAGGCTGTGCAGGGCCTCCACACACGCCTGGATAAGGCCACACAGCTGGATGCTAGTCTCCAGGGAGGTGCTAGCGCCCAGTTCAGCAGAGTCCCAGGTCAGCTTCTGCAAGAGGGCTGTCTGTGTGCAGGCCATGACATCTGCATTTGGAGGCACAGCAGGAGGGGGTGATCCCTGGGCTGCTTTGAGCCCTGCTGCAGCTCCCTCACAGTGCTCCGGACGAGGTACTGGGGGCTGGGGTGCAGGTCGAGTGCCCACCACCTCAGCCAGGTGGGCAAGGTGAACAGTGATGAGTCATGCCAACAGTATGTGCCCTTGATATGATGGGATAAGAATGGCACTTTTTTATTTTATTTATTTTTTGAGACGGAGTTTCGCTCTTGTTACCCAGGCTGGAGTATAATGGTGCAATCTCGGCTCACCTCTGCCTCCTGGGTTCAAGCAATTCTCTTGCCTCAGCCTCCTGTGTAGCTAGGATTACAGGCGCGCACCACCATGCCCAGCTAATTTTTGTATTTTTAGTAGAGACAGGGTTTCACCATGTTGATCAGGATGGTCTCAATCTCTTGACCTTGTGATCCACCCGCCTCGGCCTCCCGAAGTGCTGGGATTATAGGCATGAGCCACCGCGCCCAGCATTTTTTAATTTTTTTAAGACAGAGTTTTGCTCTTGTTGCCCAGGCTGGAGTGCAATGATGCCTTCTTGGCTCACCACAACCTCCACTTTCTGGATTCAAGCTATTCTCCTGCATGCACCACCACGCCTAGCTAATTTTGTATTTTGAATAGAGACAGGGTTTCTCCATGTTGGTCAGCCTGGTCTCGAATTCCTGACCTCAGGTGATCTGCCCGCCTTGGCTTCCCAAAGTGCTGGGATTATAAGCATGAGCCACCGCACCTGGCCAGGAATGGCACTTTATCTCCGAGGTCTTCTGCCCTAAAACCCATACCCAAGTTTAATCACGAGGAAAACATCAGAGCAATCCCGATGGAGGGGGAGTGTGAAGAAGGCCTGATCAATACCTCTCACATCTGAAAGCCATCAAAACCAGACACTCTGGGAAGCCGTCAGGACCAAAAGGAGCCTAAGGAGGCAACACAATGAGATACTGTGTCCAGGGTGGGGTCCTGGAAGAGTAGAGGGAGGGATATTGGGTCAAAACTAAGGCAATCTGAGTAAAGCATGGATGCTAGTTAATAATAGCAATAATAATACATTGCTACTGGTTCGTTCATTGTAATGAATGTACCATACTCATGGACGATATTAGCTGGAAAACTGCTTGAAGTTTATGAGAATATGGGAACTCTCTGTACTATTGTGGCAGTTTTTCTGTCAATCCAAAACCGTTCTAAAATTAAAAGTTACTTTTGAAAAAAAAAGGTTTATTCCATTACATAATAATTTCTGGTGTAGGAAAAGGGTTTTTTCTTTTTTTAATTTTAAATTCAGCCTAGTCCTTTCTGGTCATACATGAAGGCTAAAGGGATTTAAGGCACTCTGACAAGAGTCTAGACATTAACTTATACAATTCATATTTCTCACCTCACCAGCTTGGGATACAGAATAAGGTCATGTCTTTTAAAAGGTACATAATGCTGGACTCTCATTTGCCTTAGACAACTGGAGAACGTTATTTTTCCAGACCCTTGGCTCATGGTGGCATGGTGCTGTCCTCCTGACAAATGCACTGTGGTCCAGTGAGCACTGTCACCATCGTGGTCATTGTGGACCTGCAGGAGCTGAGAAGAAGCCAGCCCTGTCCATGGCAGCTGTGCAGCTTGGCTTCAGAACGGGTCCCTGATGGCGGCACTCCCTCAGTTACTCACCTCTCCTGGCCATGAACACAGTCATTTCTCAGGGGTCAGGGTGGCCAGGTCAGGAAATCTCCCCAGCCGTAGCCACCTGAAGTCCTTGGGGAATTCAGTGTGAAAACATTGTCCTTTCCCCTCAATTTCAAACCTGTCAATTTCCTGCACCAGCTTGAGTGATAGTTCTCCTCTTTCCATCCCCAAGGGGACACTTGATTTCCTGGCTACTTTTGTTCTGCTGTGGGTGAAGAAAGCCACGGCGGCTGGGCAACTGTGACTTGATGGAGGGCGGAGGATCAATCTCTTTAATAGACATAAGAGTAAGTGAGCAGGAGGGGCAGGCAGCGAGAGGGAGGCACTTCTTTCACTGGCTGGGAGAGGACCTGTGCCCTGGGCCTGCTTCACCTAGCTCTGTGACTCTCAGTATTCTATCTAACCTTCCTGGGCCTCAGTTTTCTCATCTGCAAATTGGGGAGAGGGATAGAAACATTGGAAGAGAAAATCCTGATTGTGAAGTGTGTTTTCCTTCCTTTATTTTTTATTTTTTTGAGATGGAGTGTCACTCTGTAGCCCAGGCTGGAGCCTAGTGGCATGATCTTAGCTCACTGCAATCTCTGTCTCCCAGGTTGAAGCGATTCTCCTGCCTCAGCCTCCCAAGTAGCTGGGATTACAGACACTTGCCATCAGACCTGGCTGATTTTTGTATTTTTAGTAGGGACCGGTTTTACCATATTGGCCAGGCTGGTTGCAAACTCCTGACCTCAGATGATCTGCCCACCTCAGTCTCCCAAAGTGCTGGGATTCCAGGCGTGAGCCACTGTGCCCGGCCATGAAGTGTGTTTTCTGTTCCATCTAGCAGTGTATCCAGGAGCCAAAGCTGGAGCCTTGGCTCTGGCACCCCCTGACCCCCACCCCTCACCTAGTACCATCTGAAGTGGTGGTGCTTATCCCCTTGCTGTAGACTCAGCCTCAGTGATGGTGGGGAGAGAAAAGCCTCGCTCTGACCCCAGCTTAACCCTAGCCCCCATTCGAGGTATTGTTGCTATTCTCTGGGGTTTGCTTTGCCGGAATACTGCCCCTTTGTGGTCTAAGATCCTTTCCAGGGGCTTCGAGAGTCCCTCCCCCACTGCAGTGTGCATTCACTAGATAGGGTAGACTTGAGTTTTTTTGCTTGCAAAATCCAAGTCCGTTTACTTTTCCTCTCCAAAGTGATGAAAAGGAATTCGGCTGCCAGGACAAGTCACAAGGAAGATGAAAGCAGCTTTCCTGAGGTTCAATTCTTCCAGAAACAATCTTCCTCTTCTCTCTTCCCCGCTACTCCTCCCCAACTTTCAATGCACCCAATGCATATTGCTTTTAAATGTCAAAGGGAAAAAAAAAGAGAAAAAAAAAAAAGTGAGAGAAAACCCATTTGCTCCTGAATGCCACATTCTGGTGAGGGAGAAAAGGGAGAAAGAACAAGTGTTGGAATGAAAGAGAAGCAGAGTTTTTGTTTCTTTCACCCTATTCAGGTCTCCAGGCCAGCCCCCTTTGCTCTCTCCTCTCCCTGCCGTTTCCCTCCCCCCAGGTTGCATTGAAATGTCAAATGCGGCAGTTTGCAGCTGAAAGGGGGTCCCTGGTGGGAACAGCCTGCCCTTCTAACCTGCAGGACTGAGCCGTTCCGGGCTCGCCCTTGTGTTTGCTTTTCCCCTTTCTTCCTCGCCAGCTAATGCCAGCAGATGTTTGGGATGGAGGAGGCAAAGGGGGAGCAAAGGGCTTTCCACCTGGGCGTGTGAAGGAGGCGCGTTGCAACCACGCTGGGCCCCTTCCTTCCCTCAAGTTTCTCCAACCTCTGGTTGACACAGAGATTGTCCCCTGGGGCCTATTCACTTTCCACCTGGGAGGAGAAAGGCTGGGGAAGGGAGCTCCCTGTGTCCAGAGCTGCCTGCCTCTGCCTGAATGTCCTCTCTTCCCATTCAGGGATTCTGTCCAGGCATGTTGGAGGTCAAGACAAAGCAGAACAGTCGTGAGTTTTATTAAAAATGTCACGCCTGTAATCCCAGAACTTTGGGAGGCCAAGATGGGTGGATCACCTGAGATCAGGAGTTCGAGACCAGCCTGGCCAACCAACATGGTGAAACCCGTCTTTACTTATAATAATACAAAAATTAGCTGGGTGTGGTGATGCAAGCCTATAACCTCAGCTACTCCAGAGGCTGAGGCAGGAGAACTGCTTGAACCCAGGAGGCGGAGGTTGCAGTGAGCCAAGATCATGCCACTGGGCTCCAGCCTGGGCAACAGAGTGAGACTCCATCTCCAAAAAAGAAATCGCAAAAAACCCAAAAAAGAAAACAAAAATGTGCAAGTAGTAGTCAAAACGTTTTACGCTGCCCAGAGTGGGTGAAGGTGTAGGGAAAGGATGGTTTCCTTATATTGCTGGCGAAGGGGGACATTAAATGATACATGTGAATAGAAGAGTCTGGAAGGATAGGCACCCAGATATTGATGGCTGGGTGGTAAAATTATGGTTGATATCTCTTGTCTTTATAATACCTAATGATTTCTCTTTTTTCCTTTACATGGATGCTTATTATAATCAGAAAAAAATCCAAGTTATTGCTTTCTTAAAGAGTGTGAACTGTGTAAATTAACTTTTGCCCCTCAGGTACTAGAAGGCTATCTTTTTCCTTATGTTGCACAAATAAAATTATTCTAATAATTAAAATGTTTACTTCATAACACAAAACCAGAGATTTACTGTTTTTGGCATCTGAGAAGCAAAGCATCTCATCCCTAACAGACCACAAAACACACAGTGAAGTTCTGTGATTTCTTTTCCTCTCTGTTCACCTGTTGGTTAACTTCGATGGTCCTTCTTGAGACAGAATCTCGCTGTATCGCCCAGGCTGGAGTGTAGTGGTGCGATCCTGGCTCACTGCAATTTCCACCTCCTGGGTTCAAGCAATTCTCCTGTCTCAGCCTTCCTGAGTAGCTGGGATTATAGGCATGCACCTCCCACGACTGGCTACTTTTTTTGTGTTTTTAGTAAAGACGGGGTTGTACCATGTTGGCCAGGATGGTCTCAATCTCCTGACCTCGTGATCTGCCCACCTCGGCCTCCCAAACTGCTGGGATTACAGGTGTGAGCCACTGTGCCCGGCCTGATGGTCCTTTTAATAAAGAATGATTGTCATCTTTCCTCCTTCACCTTAGCTCCAAGTTGGACCTGCGTCACTTCTCTCTGCTCTGTCCCCAACTCCACTGTCCCATCTACCCAATGTCCCCTAGCTGCTTCCCCCAGCAACCCTGCTGTTTGCTTTTCTGCTGTTTTGTTTTGTACAACCAACTCCAGCCCCCACTTCAGGTCATATCAAATGACACATTTAAAAGGAGGCTGACTGTCTTGGACGGTCCAAGACACGTGGACACTACTATAAAATACATCCACCTTGAATACTGAGAGCTTCCTGTAAGCCTTTCACTTTTTCCTTCCCAACATGACTTCCTAAATGCACCAAAGTTACTATTTGAATTTTATATGATTCTGCCCTAAGAGTCAAAACCGGGTCCCTTTACTTATGTGTGCCATGGGAAGGTGAGGATTTGGCTTTGGATAAAACATATTGTGGAGGTCAAAGCCCTGACTCTGCTTTTCCAAATATGAACTGGTGTTCCTAGGAAGCACACCGCAGGACCGACCTACATTTCCAATTTGTGCCCAAGTGGGAGTGGCTAGGTGAATTCAGGGAAAGAGACTTGAAGTTAGCTCTTGAGATATTGGCCGCCATATTGAAAAGTTGGAGGCATGGCTTGGAGGAGTGTGGCTGACTTTTGGACCCCAGGCCACCTTCTCCAGTCTGGCAGTTTGAAGACGGTCTTTTCCCATTTGGTAACGGGGAAGAGACAGAAAGTAGGAAAAAGACAGCCTTTACTTGTGCTTGTTCTTTAGCTGAGGTGAATGTATCTGAGGGTAGACGATGCCCTTCAAATGGCTTTGCTGCTTTTGGCATGCTGCTTTGTTCAGGCGCAGACAATCACTTGCACAGAACAGCGTGTGTACATGTAGATATCACTTGGCCATCTTCTCCTTGCTGGGGAAATGCTCCTTGAGAACCATGGGATGGAAACATGAGCCAAGGAAATCCTCTTAATCTCTTGCAAGGATCTTCCAGCCATCACCACCTCGGGGTTGAGGATGACTGAAGGTCATCCTGAGTGCCTGATAATGCAGATACAGTTCAGTGTGGGGAGGACAGGGCTGGAGGGAAAAAGCCACCGGCTGCTACTTCTCTGCCAAAGAACAGCTTTAGGGAAATAAAAGACAGCTGCATAGGAAGCAGCCAGGCACTTCCATGGATGCTTTCATTTGTGAACAGAGGCCGTGCTAAGCAACAGCTAAAAGGAGCCTTGGGCATCCCTGACCGGACAGTGGACAGTTCTTTGTTTCCCCCATAAATAAGGGACATTTTCTTCAGGACTGTGATGTATTCCAGAAATTTGTTGTTAGTGAGGGCTTTCAGTTGTCTTTTCATATTCTCATGGTTCTTAGGTCTTTATAATATCACATATTGGGAAAAAGTATAGGTTTTGACAATCTGGCTTTGGTGATTATAAAATATATAAGCTTAGTCTTCAAACCTCCCTGGTTTTACATATTCCTCATCTCTATACAGGGGACAGTAATATCAGCCTTTGGGGGCTGTGGGGCTCAAAATGCTTGTTTAATTGATGTGGTCCTGGCTACCTGTCTAGCCTTATGTCATTTGTTGCAGTATTTCAGGCCAAATTGATGCCTTTCTCTTCCCTACTCAGCAGGCTCTTTCACACCTCTTTAATACTTCCTATCCCTCTGCCTGAAATATCACTCCCTGACTCGTTCATTTCTCAAGCTCAGTTCATCCTTCAAGGGCCATTGGACTGTTGCCTCCTCTGTGGTACCACCTTCGCCCCTGTGTCTCTGCCTCTATTTACCTCCATGGGAGCTCATCATACACTCTCTGTTTGGGGAAAGTCTTCATGAAAACTGTTCCTCTCCCCCACTAGACTCTGAAGTTTTTGAAGACATGGTGAAGTATCCATTGCTGGTGGAAGACACAGGTAAGTGCTGTATCACTGTCACTGCTGTTTTATTTTTTCTGCCTTTCTCAAGTAGTTCCCATTCCGAAGTGTCCTTAATCCCAGGTGAACTGGAATGACTTCACTGCATATGTATAAAATCACTCCATCAGGAGTAGCTACTCTGATGAACCCATAAGTGATCTTCAGAGCTGTTCGGGTGCAGGACATTTGGAAGTCCCTGTATTTTTTGGGGAAGACTATGAATGATTGATAGAGTTGTCTTCACCAATGAGCTAGAAATAACTTATTAGTTACATAACCTAATATACGTTATGTATGTAATACATATTTGCAGCCATGCACACATATAATGTGTCCATAAAAAACAAAAACGCAAATTCTTTCAAAAGTCAAGTTTTTAAATGAATCATAATTGTATCCCTCCAATTTTTAAGATCAGTATTCATTTGCTGTTTATTTATTTATTTGATCTGTGAGTGCTGACGAGTAAAGAAGCAATAATGAGTGATAAATATTTAAGAAAAAATAGTGGCGAACAACTTACAACTGAGAACAGTCTATTCATTAACTATTACTCAATTTTGACAGCTTAATTGTTTTGTTTAGTGAAGTTTATTGAGTACTTAGGATGTGCCAGACACTACTAAGGGCTTTGCATGGCTATCCCATTAATCCTCATTCCCACCCTAAGATACGAACATTTTTATGATGTTCGTTATACAGATGAGGAAATGGAGGCTTAGCGTCAAAGGTTAAATGCTTTCAAAAACTAAATGTTTTCAAAAAGTAAAATCATGACTCTTATACTAACATAAAATGAAGACAGGTCAGAAATTTTATTGAACTGGTTAATTAATAAGGGAACCAGTAAGATGTCACTGAAATGCATCTGCATGTCTATGGACAAGAACAATTTGCTTTACTATAAATTTTCTGTAATTTAGAGAATTGTAAAAGAGCTTTAAGTCAATGCAAGGTGGAGGTAACCCAGAGGACATGGGAGCCATAACACCCAGTTGTATTATGTTGGTGAAACACCAGCCTGGTCAACATGGTGAAACGTTGTCTCTACTAAAAATACAAAGTTAGCTGGGTGTGGTGGTGGGCGCCTGTAGTCCCAGCTTTGGAGGCCGAGGCAGGAGAATCACTTGAACCCGGGAGGTGGAGTTTGCAGTGAGCCAAGATTGCGCCAGTGAACTCCAGCCTGGGTGACAGAGAGAGACTCGATCACAAAAAAAGAAAAAAAAGTGTTCTCAAAACGCTGCAGGCCGCCGGGTTTACTGCATGGCATCAGCTACTAGTTTTCCCTCCACAGAAACTAAGCAGCGTTTTCCAACACTCACTGTACTATGGCCATACTCTCGGACTGGCCTTTATGAACCCGTCCATGATATTTATTCTATTCTATTTATTCTAACAGAAAGAATTTTTCTGTTAAAAATTTTTCTTCAAGTTCTTCAAGCCTAGCTCCCTCCAAATGACCTTGATGCTTGGATACAATGCAGTTTTGTCAACAGGTCTCCAAAATTACTCAACTAGGATTTCAGCAGCAGGAGGGCTGAAACATACCTATTTTGAAGATCCAAATATACTTGAGCTTTTCAGGTATAAACGCTGTGTGCTGGATTCAGGCAGGCTGGAATGTGCATCCTGCCCACACTGTGTGATATTGGGCAAGTTAATTCAGCTCCTGAAGACCTGCTTTCCTCATTTGAAAAATGGGGATAATTACAGTTGTGGGGAGTGAACGAGGTGATCCACAGGAAGCTTTTGGCACTGGGCCTGGCATCAGCTCTGTTCCCAGTCAATGTCAGCTATTAATGCATTTCATGGAGTCTAAGATGTTCTTTTTTTGCATATTAACGTCTCTGAAATCAGTCTGCTTCTTAAAATTGATGGCATGTCATTGTCTGAATGGTGGCATTTCTTCCCTCTTCTTAGGGTCTCTAAAACGATGATGGACCTTACAATAGATGGTGTCTAGACTTAGTGAAACTCAGGGTGTGTAAGGGTCCCTGGGGTGTAGTACTGATGGCCACAGGGCCTCACAGAGGAGAGCTGGAATTTTGGGAATGTCAGGTCTGTCCATCTCCCCAGTGGCCTGTGCACCCACAGGAGTAAGTCAAAGGAAAGCTGAATAAACAAGGTGGGTGGGTCCGCGCCTCTTGGGTAAGGTCTTCATGATGGCAGGTGCACTTGCTCTTTCTCCTTCTCTCAGGTTTTGTTCAGGTTTTCTTTCCAGGTCCAGGCAGCTGAGCGGGGAGGGCGGGGTGAGGGCTTTGCTCATCTTGTTCAAGGTCCTCCTCCACAAGTTGATCTCCAAGCTTGCTTGGGCCACTTGGCTTCAACAGGTTCCATTATCCTTTTCCTTTGGGTCCCCTTTCAGGGAATGATTTTGAAACAGCACCCAGGGTTCCGAAGGAGGCAGCAATATCCCGTATACCAGCTTGACCAAAGAGGGCAGATAAGGATGAGGTTCCCCCTGCCCCGCCCCCACCAACCACCTCTGCCTCGCTCTCGTTCTGTTCAGCCACATGATCATGACGGGACTTGCCAGCAACGCAGCCAGGGGAGAAGGTTTCCTTCTTGTTGTTATTTTTAAGGTGATCCTATAGGAAGGAGTTGGTGTAATGGATGATTTGCTTTCTTTGAAAAAGAACCATCTGGGTTTAGATTTCATATTTACTATTTTAAACCCTTTCAATTAGACCCTTGGGGCTTCCCAGGCCTGCCTGGGGGAGTCTTTCTCCAAGCTTCCTTTCCTTTCTTTCCCAAACCCTGGGACAAATGTTTGTTTTTCTCACATATTCATCAAGGCCCAAGGCCTTCAGAAAGTACTGAGCGCAGGCCTTTGACATGGGAAGCTGGAGCCTGTCTGGGGAGGTTTAGCCGAGAACAGTACTTGGCAGACTTGCTTCCTGCCCCATGCTGCCATTCACTGTGGACAGCTTGGGGGTGGGGGTGGTGCTTGGCACATTTGCTGAACCCACTGGAAGCCCTCAGTTTTGAGAGGGAAAGGGACTTTCTCATGGATTTCCCGCTCCAAGAGCATCAATCAGCCTCAGAGCCACACTAGTGAGAAAAGGAGTTGTTTATAGCAGAAAAAGTGATTACAAAGGCCACCCGCTTGCTTTAAATCTTTTGTTCCTGTTGGCGCCTCAATCAGAATTCTGGGGCAGCCCTTGTGCAGCCTTTGCCTGCCTGGGTTTGTGGATCTTGGAGGTCGGGGATGCAGGACAGAGATGCCCAGAGGAGCTGGGAGAAGCCTGGCACTGGAGTCTGTGCGGTGTCCCATCTCCCTCTTTTTTTTTAGATGAGGAGTGACTTCCTGCAAATCTCCAAGCTTCCAGTTGTTGATGTGTCAATGTGAATAATCAGTCCAATCTCATGGGATATGAAATTTATTTTTTTATTTTTACTTTTATTTTTTTGAGATGAATTATTGCTCTGTTGCCCGACCTGGAGTGCAATGGCGCAGTCTTGGCTCACTGCAGCCTCCACCTCCCCGGTTCAAGCGATTCTCCTGTCTCAGCCTCCCAAGTAGCTGGGATTACAGGCCTGTGCCACCACGCCTGGCTAATTTTTGTTTTTTTTTTTTTTTTTAGTACAGACAGTGTTTCACAGTGTTGGCCAGACTGGCTTGAACTCCTGACCTAAAGTGATTTGCCCACCTCAGCCTCCCAACGTGTGGGGATTACAGGCATGAGCCACCACGCCAGGCATGTGAAACTTAAATCAGGTGTCAAGGTCTGCCGGGCACTTGGTGGGCAATTCACACTATTACTCCCAAGCTGCCTTTCCCCCTTCCCTCTTGCCATGGAGGGTAGGATCCATACCTTACATGACTTAAATATGATTTTTGAAAGAGTAGTTGAAATAGAAGAATGAGGAAAATGAGAAGAAAAAAAAAAAGTCATTTTCCCCCACATTGACTCCCTCCCACCGCACCTTCAAACCTGTTTACATTTCACAAACGTTACTGGCCAGAGGTTGCACATCTGTGCCAGGGTACTGCGTTTCCTCGCCCAAAGCCAGTTGCTGATGGAAACCTCCACCCTGCCTGTTGGTGGTTTTGCTCCGCTGAGCTGTGGGCTGTGGGGTTAAAGGACCCTTGCCAAAGTGAAGAGTTTTATCTGCCTTCCTGACAGCTGTGAGAAATTCTGATTGAGAAGAGGGCAGATTCTACGCAGGGGGTTGGAGGAGACAATCCCCACGTGTCAGTTTTGAGAGGCACTGCTGGTGTCAGATAGATTTCATTCCCGTATTGGAAAGTGCTTCTTAATATGGAGTTGAAAATATTTAAGGCTGTAGCAAGGGACAGTTGGTCCAGGGCAGAAAATGGTCTGTATAAAGTTGCCCTCCCAGCTGCAGGGTGGACTGCATGGACTTGACCCCAATAGGAATAATTGAATTTATAGGAAGAACATTGCTCTGTGAATAGCTTTTGGAAGCTTCTGGGGCAGAGATGCACAGGGTTTCCAACATGCAAATGAGGCTGGGTACAAAACCCCAGAATAAAAAATGTCACACGAGTACCATCCATCATTGTATTAACAGGTGGGCATGTAGACTGATTTGAAATTTATCAGTACGCAAATTAATTACGCTTTTGAACGGTGATGCAGAAGCATCCATAGGTGTCTTTGAGCTTCTTTGACAAGGGACATGCTGCTGTGGGTCTAATTGTCAGAGTAATTGTTTTCTCCCCTGCGAATGACTGGCGGCAAGTGCAGCTCTGTGCATTGGTGTGCTTTTGATGATCTACCGGACCTGAGGATGGGGGCTTTGTGGGATATGTTTTTATGAAACAGTTAAGCATTTATAGTGTAAAAATACCTATTAATTCTTCCTGGCTGGATTCATTTATTTTAAACAAATCGCAGTGGCTGGATATAGGCTTAGGGCTTAGGTGTTCCAGGAGGGATATTTACTTTCCTGATGTGTGGGTTTTGTCTTTATTTGTCTGAGTGATATTAACAACAATATACAGCCTTTCTCTGACTGCACTTGCTGCTTGT